TGAAGCGTGAGGCCAGGCCACGGGAGACCACGGCACCCACGGGGGCTCGAAGCCAAAACAGAGGGGGCAAGGACACGAGGACGGGGCCTGCCCTCCTGGGTGGGAGGGGTTACAGTGCAGCTGCTGACTGACAGGTGTGACAGTTCCTCCAAAGCCCAGCAGAGGCTCTGTGGGACCCCGTAACCCCTGCCCCAGGCACATGCCAAAAGAGTGTGGCGAGTAGTCGTGGAAATGTAGTCCAGGAGCACTCAGGGGGAGCATTCACAGTAGCCAACAGGCAGAAACCACGTCCACTGAGGGGTGGATGCAGCAGATCCTCACATGGAATATTATTCAGCCTTAAAAAGGAAGGAAGGATTGTCCTGCCACAGCAAGGACCATCCTGAAACCGTGGTGCTCTGCAAAGAAGCCAAAGCAAAGGGCCCGGGGTTGCCTGGCTCCTTCACGTGCAGGGTCCAGAGAGCTGGGTCCTCCTGCAGGCCGAAGGCTGGGCTGCAGGGGCGGGAGCCGCCGGCCACCACTGGCTTCCTTTGGGGTAATGTGGGTTTGGGAGCGAGTCAGAGGCGAAGGTTACACAGTGCTGGAAACGTTCTGACAGCCCCGAATTGTTCTCTGTAAATTGTTAATGTGTGTTATGTGAATTTCACCTCATTAAAAAATCCATCTGTATAATCCAATTTAAATACATCTTTCAGGTAGTGCCTATTAAAATTATGTTGACTTGGATCTTTTTAATATTATGAAAATAAACTGCGCTCAGGTGGGAAAATAAAGCAAACTTCTGCCACACTGAATCCTTGGAGAGAGCTGGGCTGTGTCGCAAGCCGGGCGAGGGCAGAGGCGGGCAGCGCCCACGGGCAGAGGCGGGGCTCGTGGGGACGGTGCTGGTCTCCAGCCCATCCTCCCCCCCTCCCACCAGCCTGACCCGGCTGCTCTATCCTTCTCCCTAAGAAGCCACCTGTCCTGCTGACCAAGGACACTGAGATGTGGCCTGGAAATCTCTCAGGCCTGACCTTACAGGAGGAGCCTGTGGCTCGCAGAAGGGACCCCCAAGGGGGGACTCTTGTGGGTGAGATTTCCAAGGGAAGGTTCCCAGGACAAGTGGGTTGAGGGAAGGGACCCACAGGGGTCAAGGACAGCTGAAGAGAAGTAGTCTCATCAGGAGGTGGCCTCGCACTGTCCCCCTGAGAACGGACCCCACCAGCGCTGGTCCCACCTTGGGCCAGCCCTTTGTGCGTGCCGTCCTCGTGGCTAGTCACAGAGGCCAGTCTCCAAGGAGGGGCTGCTGAATCGGCCCCTCTGGCCAGAACTCTCATCCCCCACCGAGAGCACGGCCCTCGGGGATCTGGCAAAATCCCTCCCTCACCTGGAAGCCCCTGGGGACCCAGGCTCTGCTTGGCCTCTGGTCAGTGCTCCTGTGGACCTGCAGACACAGGACAACCTCAGGCCACCAAGAGCCTGCCGGGGACAGCTGGGACAATGGCAGGGCCGGGGGGCAGAGAGGGTAATAGAAAGCAGCCAGGCCAGGCGTGGGGCCTCTTGTTTTGCTCTAAGTGCAGTTGACCTCGCTGCTAATAGTTAAGTGGATAAGGCAGAAAGAAACTGCCTCCTTTTCCCCTAAATAGATTTAGCCCTCACCCGGCCACATGAGCTTGGTCAGGCACGCGGCTAACGAGCCCTGCAGTGACCCACCCTTCAGCATCGTCCCTGTGGACTGCCTGTGGTGACAGGGCTCCCAGGGCAGCTGGGCACACTCAAGACCCCATCAGCAGCAGAAACCCCCCCGAGAGCAGGGCCTGCAGGGCCCCTGGCAGGCTGTGCAGAGGCAGCACTGACCGGGGCGGGGGGCCAGCAGATGGTAGCCGAACCTCGGCCGTCATCCCCCCGTGGGACAGGCAGAAGGTCCCACCAGCCCTCCAGGGGTGGACCCTCCCCAGGGCCCCAGACCTGGTCACAGTTATCGAGCCCTAATTAGCAGGGGCCGGTGACATGGGTGTTTGGAAGCTTCGCCGTGTTGGCTGCTGCTTTTGTGGGATCCCGATGCTCAGGTTAGAGCCAAGTCCTGGGACACAGGTCAGGGAAGCAGCCGCTCCCTCCTCCCCCAAGCCGGCCTCTTCCTCTGTGGTCAGTGCTGTCCCTGAAGGATGGGTCTTCCCTCCTCTGGCCTCCCGCCCACTGCCCCCAGACACACAGGCCACATCCCCAGGGTCCCTCAGGGCTCTCCTCCTGGGGGCTGCTGAGCAGGGGGACCTGGGAGGGGGCAGCCACCAGGAACCCCTTGGCTGGACCCAGCACTTGGGGCCCAGGGAGAGCTGAGACTGGAAATGCACCGGGCCTCGGGGCGCTGGCGGGTGTTCTGGTGAGGAGCAGCGGTGCCTGTCACCACCCTGGAGGGACCACTCATGTCCAGGCACCGTGGCAAGTCAGGAGCAAAGCCAGATGGGAAGGTGGTGCTCAGAGACAGCCCGAGTAGAGGCTGGTGTCCCCCTGAGGACAGGGGCTCACAGCTGGTTCCAAGGACCCCTGCCCCTCAGGAGCCCCTCCCTGCCCGCCCACCACCCTGTGCCCACAGTTCTGTCTTCCTTCTCCCTGTGAACACATCACCCCACCTCCAACGACACCCTCGGGACTCTCCCCCATCGGCTCCTCAAACCCCACCTGGTGCACTTGTCAGCTCCCACGGGAGCGATGCTCCGTGACAAGTGCTCCGACATGGTGGCCAGGAAGTTGTGCCACCCCAGGCTGACCCGTCTGCACACGGGTCTCGGAGCCGCTGTCGGGAGCTGGCTCAGCCCCTGGCTCTGCTTCAGGCTGCGCAGCAGGCGACCCTCACTCCAGAGGTTGGGCTCGGGTCTGTCCCCCAGTGTCTACCTGAAGCCCAGACAGGCCGGCTCCCTGACCAGCCAGCCCTGTTTGGCACCTCGTTACGTCGCCCAGAGCCCGGCCCCCTCAACAGGCTGCTCACTCGCACCCTGTGGCCTCTCCTGGATTGCAAACGCCCCGGTCAGTGGACTCGGGTGCTCGTCTCCACCCTGGGCCTGGCTCCCGGCACAGAGTGGAGGCTCAGCGCGTGTTTGTGATGAATGAGTCAATGAAGTTGTGCCTGAAGCCCGAGGAGAACCCCCCCCACGTGGCTCTCTCTCCGTCATTCGCAGGGCCAGCGTTCCCCCAGGAGCCCACCCAGCCAGCGCTCGGCTGGTTGTGGAGGCTCTGATGTGAGGGACGAGGGACTCGTGGAGGTACGCTCAGCCGTGGCATTGCAGAGTCTCCTCTGGGTCACTGCCCCCGGGGACACGGGCTCACAGCAGGATCTCTGCTCCTGGCTTCCCCAAAGTGGAGCTGCTCCGTGCTTTCACATGCGCAAGTCCTGACTGAGACCCAGCAGAGGAAGGGCCCGGCCGCCTGCTGCCTGTAAGGACATGACTGGGGTCCTGCTCTCCCACAGGGCGGCTGGTGGTGGGCAGGCCTGGTACCGCCTTAGCACTCAGGCGAGGAAGGGTGTCGGACACACCCCAGCCAGGGGAGCAAGGCTCTGGGGCGAGAGCAAGGAAGGGCGGCAGGTGCCCCAGCAGAAGAGCCTGTAGATGAAATGTGGGCTGGTTCAGTGAATGGCGGCGCCAGGCACCACCTCTGAAGCGCTGTGGTGATGTCCGCTAGGGCAGCCAGCGTCCCTGTGTGCCCAGGAGGGAGGGCTCCTGGATCAGGGCTCTCTATGCACGAGGGAGTCCAGGCAAACTGGGACCACAACCACCCTCCCCGAGTAACGAGAGCCTCAGCCCCCGCCCCAGTGCCCCTCCTGTACAAGGCCAGGGCCAGGCAGGCACAGAAAGTAGAGCCTAGGGACACCCTGGTGGGTGCACCCTCCCTGGTGGGAGGGCAGGGAGAGCGCATGGGGGAGGGACTGCCCTAGGGGAAGGGTCTCGCCCAGCCAGCTGCCTGCAAGGGACCCTCAGCTCCCCCAGGCCTCGTGGGGGACCTCCACAGAGGACAGAAGGGCCCCTTGGTCATGCATCCCAGTCCCTCAGCCACTGCCACTGAGGAGGTCCCACCGAGGACCCGGCACATAGCCCCCTGCCTGGGGGTCTGCCTCGCGGCCCTGCCCCTGTAGTCCTCCACCCTGCTCCTCCCGGATCTACAGCAGGTGGCCTCAGGTCGCCCACACACAAGAAGGTGGGTTTGGACTCAGCTTGTCCCCCCAAGCTCCGATGTCAGGCCCTGGCCTCCGAACTGCCCCACGACCTGCCTGGTGTCCAGGTGAGGCTGGAGCTTCTGGTCCAGAAAGTGAGGGACTGGAGGCCTGGGGACAGGGAGGCTGCCCTGCAGAGACCCAGGGGCCCCGCGCGTCCCTGGGCCCGGGCCTGTTGGCCTCCGGGGCTGGTCTCCAAAGCACCTGGCCGAGAGCTGGGGAGGACCTGGGAGAGGGGCACAGGGTCTCTCAGGCCTAGAGCTGCCCTGGATCAAGGCCTCCCTTCCCTGGCCTGCTGGACCTCTGAAGGGGCTTTATATTCCCAACACCCAACCAGGTTCCCCTTCCTCCCTACTCCGAGGCCTCTGGTCCATGAGACCCTCGAATCTAAACCCTCCTGCCTCAGCGCAGCCCCACCCAGAGGCAGGCACACCTCAAGGCCACCCAGGCTTCTTCCAGTCCAGGTTCCCAAGGCCCTCCCTCACCGCTGGGTCCCCAGGCTGGCCTTGGTCTGCTCTTGCAACAGAGGCTCAGCACACAGAGCTGGCACCACCTTGGAGAGGGCACCCTTGCTGTCCCAACAGGCAGACCGGCCCTGAGAGGAGGCTGAGTGCCATGCCAGGGCCACAAGCCTATCCAGGCTGGGCACAGCTGCCCAGCTCGCAGGGGGCAGGGACAGGGACCCAAAGAACAGGGTGCGCGAATGAGGGGGCAGCGGCTGGAGAAGAAAGAGCCTCAGTGACCGAGCCCCAGCCCCGGCGTCTGCTGGGACCGGGCCATCCTGAGCTGGCCACCAGCCAACTGAAACAGACCATTTTGAGTAAGCAGGCGCTGCCACTCCGGCCGACACGCCATCAGCATTTATTTGCCCAACTCAAAAGGGGAAGAGCGCCGAGAGGCAGGCCTGAAAGTGAAAAGCAGCGCGCCCGTCAAGACTGCAGGCGCACCGCCAGCCGCTCCTCGGCGGACCTCTGCGCGCGCCCTAAATTTAACCAGCTGGAAATCCTTTTTTAAGTTGCCTCCTATTCAACCTTTTGAAATAAAGATCTGCCTTTTAATGGGAAATCTGCTTCCCGCCGTGGAGCGGGAGCCGGCACCGTGGCCAGGCCCATCCTCCTGGACGGCAGCCGCCGGGTTTTGGCTGCAAACCCGGGGAAGCGCGTGTGCAGGGCGGAGGGGCGCCAACGGTCAAGGCCACTGTCCCTGGGTGAGGGGACATTCTCAGACCACAGGCACAGAGGCTTCCTTAGAGAAAGCAGGAAATTAAAAAGCAACAGCAATAAGAAGATGCCCTGCCAAGAAAATAAAGAAGACATTTTCCGTGCGTGCTCACCTAAGGGCCGGGCGGAGCTGTGGGCACCAAAAGCCACCAGTCAGGCGGGCTGCGTTCAAGTCCCACCACGGCCTCCGGGCTCTGGGCCTGAGCCTCTCACAGAGTGTCCCTAGGTCTCAGTCTCCCTATCTGCGAGTCCAGGTGATGCCAGCATCGAGTGACTGCAGATTGAGTGACAGGTGACACAGGCACCACCAGATCATAGATGACAGGCAACAGGCTCTGTCCTAGATATGATTTGTCACCCAGTCACATGGGAAGCGGGTTCACTGGGGAAGTGGGGCTTAGTCGATGTCCGACTCTGAGACCCTGGGTGTGAGGGGGCTCCCCAGGGCCATGGGGACTAAGACAGGGCCGTCACCAGGCTGCTGGCCTTGGTGAGGGATGAGGCAGACAGGGTGTGAACCTCAGAGTGGACAGACCTCGGGTGGACTGAGCTGCAGGGGGCCTCGGGAGATGAGATGACCACAAGGGGCTGGGCACGGTGATGGAGCCTGCATGCAGGTGAGCGGGAAATGGAGGGTGAGGGAGCCCTCGACGGCACCCCCAGGGAACCTCCCGTCTAGCCAGGGAGGGAAGCTGGGCACAGCAGTCCAGGGGAGAGGGCCGACGGGCGGAAGGCAGCAGGCTGTCCTCTCAGGCACAGGCCCGTGTGGGAGCGTGACGCGTGCATGTCAGAGCCTGGCTTTGGTGAGAAGACTGCGCCCAGGGTGTTCTGTCACCTGTGCACGCCACACCCTGCTCCTCCGATGGTGCTCTGACACCAGGACCCAAGGTCTCCAGCAGCCGACCACCTCTCCAGCCGTCCCCTCCCTGCATGACCAGTGGCCAGAAGGAGTGACCGGAAACAGCCCCTCTGGGAACCCTGAGGTCTTCTCCTGGAGAAAGCCGAGAACCCTGTGCTCCAGGAGAAGCGGCTTCCTCCTTAGAGGGACGCAGGGAAGACCCCCGTGGTGGTGGGGGGGGTGCCCAGCCTGAGAGATGAGTGGGCTCTGGGTGAGGTGGGAACTCTCCGGGGGGCAAGAGCCACTCCCAGCAGAGCCCCAGAGGCTGGGACAAACTGAAGCTGGTTGACCGGGACGTTCACGGAGAACAAAGGTCCAGCAAGGCAGGGTGACCACCGGGGCGTCAGGTGGCAGGACCAGACTGGGAGCACTGGCCTTGCTCAGAAGACCCCGCAGCCAGCTCTCACACCTGAAGGAGGTCAGCCTGGTTGGAGAGAGGAGCTGGGCACCCAGGCCAGGGCTCCTAATGGCTCCACTGAGATACCACCCATGTGCGGGCCTGGTGTCCATCTGAAGTGCAGACCTCAGCAGCCTCTGGCAGATCACACCACTGGGCTTTAAATTGTGGTAAAATATACACAACATGGGACTTATCATGACATCTGCTTTCAGGGTCCAGGTCAATGGGACCAAGCACAGTCACAATGTCACACAACCACAACCATCTACTTCCAGAACTTGGTCAAAACCCCAAATAGAAACTCACACCCACCAGGGAAGAGCTGCTGGCTCCCGCCCCTGCGGCTCTCCCACCCCGGCGACCTTGGGTGCACTTCCTTCTCTGGACCTGCCTGTTGCAGACCCAGTGGAACAGAGCCACCCTCTGTGACGCTCACTGCACAGGGCAGAGTGTCCTCAAGGTCCAGCCACCTTGACGACAGCCTGCCTGGTGCTTCACTCCTCATTACAGTCAGATAACCTTCCACTGGGTGGACATGCCACATTCTGTCTGGCCATCCTCCTGTCCAGGGGCATGGGCTGCCTCCACGTGGCCTCTGCCAAGAACACGGCAACAGGCCTGCACCTGAGTCTTGCACAGGCTCCGTGCCCGTCTCCGCACAGATTCGCTATCATGCTTTTGAACTAAAACAGAGTCAAAGAGACAGACGTGCCCGGCTTCTCACACGGCCACAGCTGGAAGTGGAAGGACCTCGGCAAGAACAGGCAGGGGCACCAAGGGACAGCGTCACAGCAGCCCAGAGAACTGCGAGGTGGTAGAGATAGAGAAGGGAGACTCAGACGCTCCTCAGACCTCAGAGCCAGGGCGCAGGAGGTGGCAACGAGGAGGAACGCAGGGTGGGGACAGTTTGGGGATCATGGTATCTAGAAAGTGAGTCTGAATCCTCAGGCAAATCCCTCCCAGGAAAGATCCCCTCCAAGGGCCTTTAAGAACAGAATCCTCCCACCACAACGGCCAGCGTGGAAAAGACTCCCCAGATCAAGTGCCGGCAAGGACGTGGCGTGGTGGACACACCCACCCAGAGGGCAGGGCACCCAAGAGCGCTCTGCAGATGGCCTGGCAGCATCTGCTGGAGCTGGACATGTGGGCACCCAGCAGCCCCACTGCCCAAGGCTCAGCCTCAGGGCCACCAGAGGCAGATCCAGGGATGTTCACGAGCAGCTTTATTCTTGGTGACCAGAGTCTCAAGTGCCCGTCAGCAGAAGCACACGTGAGTACATTGTGGGTACTGGGAGCACCCCACGGCCACCATAGGAGGTGCTCGTGGAGAACCTGTGCATCCTGCAGACCCTCCCCGGGACAAGGGGCAGACCCCAGGGACAGGCTGGGGCTCCCCTCTCTGTGAAGTTCAGGAACTGAAAGGACCAACCCACAGGACGCCAGGAAAGAGGACCTTGTAGGACTTGGTAGGACCCCATCTACACAGAAAACTGCATGTTCCAACGTCTTACAGAAAGTCGGGGGAGTCCTGATGGAGACTTAGGGTGACAGAAAAGAGGACAGTCCCACAGGCAAAGCCACAGGCTCCTGGGGGCATCTGGGCCCACACACAAGAGAGAGGGTCAGACGCGCCAGACGGGAAGTGCCTTGCAGGAATGGCACAGCAGTCCTGAAGGCCTAGACTCTGAAGGGGACGGAGGAGATGTGAAGGACTCCGTCCAAACCCAGAACCCGCCGCCTGGCCTCTGAGGACAAGGCTACGCAAGGAAAGAATCACAGCAACAGTCACCTGCGCATGGGCAGGAGGGCACCGGGCAGCCTGGGGGATGTGCCGTGGGAACCTCTCTACCAAACCTCTAAGGTCCACTTCACTGCCGAGAGGTCCACTATTTAAGTAGAAAGAGGGGGCTTGTGAGGTGACCCAGTGGGGTTCTTGGTTTCTCCAGGGTCTTTGGGGTGGGCAGAATAACCACCCAAAGACACCACACCCTAACCTCAGAACCGTCGTGTTCCGAAGGAACCCATCTCCACGGACATGTTACCTCGCCAAGCAGAGGGGCCTCCTCTGGTGGACCCCGAGAAGGGAGAGTCTCCTGGCTCATCCAAGTGGCCAGCGTGATCACAGGTCCTTCACGGTGGAGGAGGGAGGCCGGAGAGGTCAGAGCCACGTCCTGGGTTGGAGCTGGGGGAAGGAGCCACACCAGGACTGTGGGCAGCCACCAGAAGCTGGAAAAGAGAAGGAAGCAGGTTCTCCCCGGAGCCTCCCGGCCCTGCGCACCCTGGACCTTGCTGGTGAGACCCCCGGGCAGCCCGTAGCCCAACGGTGAGGGCCATGCGTCCTCCAGCACTGAAGTGGGGGTGAGGCTGGGTGCCACGGCTGCACCTGTGACCCCAGCGCCTCAGGAGGCTGAGGCAGGAGCATCGCAAGTTTGAGGCCAGCCTAAGCAACTTACTTGGTGAGACCCTGCCCCAGAATAAAAACTAAAAGACGGGGGTGTAGCTCAGTGATAGAGCACACCTGCATCAATCCCCACTACCCAAAATAAATGCAGTGACTTGACGGGAAGCATGGCCGTCTCTGCACCCTTCCTCCTCCCCTCCGCCCCGCCCCCCTCCTCCCCCCACAAGCCTCCCTTCTCTCCAACCTCGAGGGCTGCTCCCCACTGCTCAGGAGCAGCAGCGCCACCGTCAAGGCTTTGGGTGGAGAAATCACGCAGCAGCTTATGTAACTCCATCCCCTGCCACAGCCACCAACGCCCACAGATGCCCGAGGAGACCTGTGCCACGAGCCCACCCACGCACCTGCGGACGGGCAGACGCCAGCTCCCATCAGGAGCCGGAGTCCTGGGGCAGCGCTACAGTCCACTTGCCCCGTCCAACCTGGGGGCCCGGTCAACACTGTTCAGCTGGGCTCGAAGGAAACTGGCCTGGCTGGACTCCAGGAAAGAGGCTTTGTGTCCTGGGCCTGTCCAGCGCCTTTGCCCATACAGACGTGTGTGACCAGCAGGCCGTGCCCTTGTCTCTGGGCAGCTGTGTGCATGGTGGTGGGCCCTGCGTCTCCTGCACCAAGTCCCCGCATCCCGAGGCCTCATCTCAGACTCTGGTGTCTTCCACCACCGAGGCCCACCACCTGGGGCAGTTGGGGTCTGCCAGCACAGCCCTGGATGGAGCCATCTCTCTTGCAGCTCCTCCCACGGCCACACTTGAGTGGCACAGCTCTGGGGACAGGCCAGCAAGGGACAGCAGGGAGACAAGGACAGAGGCCAGAGAGGCGCTCTGATTTCCATGACAACAGCAGAGTCTGGCTGCCTGTGTGGGAATGTGATCCCCGAGAGCTGGGTCTGCCCACCTCAGCCTGAGGTGGACGCCGCCCTCCTGGCCCTGGGGTCCAGCGCTGCCTGTGTGTGCGGCTGTGTGTGTTCAAGACCAGGGGAAGCTGTTCCTGAGGGCTGGACGTAGAGAGGGAGAGGGACCCGGGACTGGCTCCAGGCCTAGAGACCCCAGAGCCTCACGTGCCCTTGACCTTAGGGGATGGCCTAGGTGGGGCCGGGAAGGGGAATGGCTGAACATGAGGCCCAGGGAGGACCCTGCAGGTCAGGGGAGAGGGGGAGAGTGAGCAAGCACTGGTGGGTTCAGGACCCTGGCCAGCCCTGCCACTCCCACCCACCTGGCACTGTCCCCTGCGGGGCTCAGGACCTGGTAAAGCTCCGCCCACCAGGGTCATTTGCAAAACTGCCAATTGTGTGAGTAAATGCAAGTTTTCACTGGGCTCCAGGCTCGGCCTGACGTACGGCATGTCACCATACAACGGCAGCGCAGCTCTGTTAATGCTGAGCACCCACCCATCAGGAAGGACGGTCCTGGGGAGACAGGGACCCTCTGGCCCCCAGCGTTGGCACCCTCGGATCTATCAATGAATTCTGCCATGGTGCCTGGTCCATCCGGGACTCAAAGCCTCCTGACTGCCGGGTTGTGGGCAGAAGAACAAAGGGAGAAATTGATCCACTTCACCCCTTGAATGAGGATCTGAATGATCCTGTGAGCCATGCAGCAGGCTGGCTGGCAGATTCGATTTGTTTCTGTTAATTCACAGGAAAGGAGGCCCAGGAAGAGAGGGACTGCTCTGCCGTGAAAACAGCCCACGCTTTGTTTTGCTTAAATAACGCAGGTAACACCCTGTGGCTGGCGCAGGACTGAAGCCGGAGCAGTCTGGCCCACTCTGCTTCCCGGTCACAGAGGCTGCAGCTCAGGGGCCGGCTCGGGCGTGGCCTCTCCTCTGGTCCCCCTTGGGGCAGGTCCGGCTCCGGGTTTCTGCAGACTCCTCTCCCGCCTGCAGGTCCACGTTCCCTGAGGCTGATGGCAGCTGCTCTGGGCTTCCAGGAACACCTCTCAGTCTTTGCCCCTGGGCCCTCCCTCCAGGCCGCAGGCGAGGGTCTCACCAGTCGGCTACAAAGGATCCTTCTTTTCAAAGTTGGTTTTGATAAGAGAAACATGGCCACCTCCCAAAAGATGAGATTAGAACCGAGAAAGAGGAGAGGGAGGCAGGGAGGAGAGGGGCGTGCCGGCCTCCACCTCCCTCTGCCCACCCTCCACTCTGCACCTGGCTCTCCTGCCCCACCTCCCCTGTTGAGGAGCCTGTCGGACCCACTCAGCCCCCTCCTGGTCCCAGCAGGTCCTGAGGCTCTGAGGGGACACGAGGGAGGGGTGGCCAGGAGGCCCCACCGCTGGTTGCAGACCAGACCCTGGTGACCTTGGATTCGTCATTCGCCTCTGTAAATCAGGGCTCTCCAAGAAACAGCCACTGGAGAGAGCGAGGGGTTTCTGGGGCACCAGCGCCTGCCGTTGGCAGATGGAGAGCCAGGCCGGCCAGTGGCAGGTCCCCTGAGCTCACAGGCGTCCCAGCTCGGGCAGGCAGGAGGGGAAGGGTAAAGCCTCCGTCCTCCGCTGGTTACCCTGGACAGGATGGAGGAAGCCCACCCACACTGGGAGAACATCTGCGTCACCAACCACGCAGGCCTCCTCGGAGGGCCCAGGAGCAGGGCCCCGCCTGGGCCCAGACCTAGGCAGCTTCACGGGTGAGCCGACCCTCACCTCCCACCTCGCCACCTGCCTGAGGCGTAGCCGCAACACGGGGCCTGCCTCCCAGGACAGCTGTCCGTCTCTGGGCAGCTGTGTGCATGGGTGGTGGGCCCTGCACACAGTCCAGTGCTCACAGTCCAGGCCCTTGTAGTGGATCTAGACGGGCGCTGGGCGGGGAGCCCGGGGAAACCTGGAGGGACAGCAGAGACGGGAAAGAGTGGGACAAGGAAGGACCCGCCCCAGACCTGGAGCCACAGGAGGCAGGCTGGCACTGCTGCAGGCCTCAGGGTGACTGGAGCCGGGGCCTGGAGGCAGCTGTCCTGGCCCCGGGTCTCCTCCTAGGCGGTCAGCCCCACCTCTGCTCTCTGCACACCGCCCCACGTTCCCTGGACCCCTGCAGAGATGGCACTGCCCAGCCCCCCAGCCACACCCCACGAAGCTCTGGTCACCGCTCAGACTTCAGGGAGGTCCTCCATTAGGGAGCAGGCGGTATCCCTCCAGAAGGTACGTGGACGTCCTCACCCAAAGCTCAGGTGTGCCCAGCTGGGACACAGGATCAGTACAGATGTAACCGGGAAGACGAGGTCACACTGGAGAGCAGTGGCCCTTCATCTAGCATGACAGTCCTCATAAGAGAATGCACAGACACTAGGCCACGTGGGGACATAGAAGGCCAGGTGACAATGAAGACAGGTCCTGGAGCCATGCAGTCACACACCGAGGAAGCCGAGGTCTGCCGGCAGCAGGAGAGTCAGCAGGAGAGTCAGGAAGAGGCCTCCCGGGGGCCCTCTGAGGGAGTGGGCCCTGCCCGACCTGGACCTTGACCTCAGAGCCTGGCCTCCAGACGGAGAGCAGGTTCCCTCTGTTCCCAGCCGCCCAGTGTGGGGTCCCTGCTATGGCAGCCACAGGACACTGGGCCCGTGCTGGGTCCAGACCAATCAGCCACCTACCGCAGTACCGGACCACCCCAGCTGGAACCAGAGGACGGGTCACCAGAACACAGGTGAGCTGCACACGCCCGGCCTGCTGCTGGCCTGGGGGACCACGCGCCTGCGCCTGCTCCCTGCCGGACCTGCCAAGAGGAGGACAAGGCCTCAGGGAGGTGGGAAGCTGCGAGTGGGGTCCTGCGCCCAGGCCCAAGGCCAGACCAAGCCCAGCCCTTTCCCAGGGGAGGAGTGGACAGCCGGAACCTGGGCCGAGGCCGCAGGCCAGGAGGCAGAGCGAGCAAGGACAGGAGGACGCACCCACTGGGCTCCCTGCCTGGTCACGACTGGACAGGACCAAACATCTGGGACAGCTGATCAGGAACCGGGCGCCTTGAAGACGGACCAGAGACCCTGGAGCTCTTTCTTCCCTCTCTGTCTGTCTCAACACCCCCACCTCCCCAGGTCCCTCCTGCCACCGTCGGGGTCTCAGAGGGCGAAACCCCCTGAATGATCAGAAACCACACTGAGGCTGCTTCCTTGGCTTTAGGACGGGCCTTTGGCTCTGGAGGCCCCAGGGCTGCTCCTGCTTCTCCTGCCCACCCCGTCCCCCTGCCAAGAGGCAGGAAGTGAAGAGCCACCGGGAAGTCAGAGCAGATCGTCCCCAAGTCCCCACTAAACCCCCATTTCCCAACTTGCTTCCCCAGGAGTTTGATTCTGGGCTATGTCCACTCACAGGTCACCAGCCTCGCTAAAAGGGTGGGCAGCGACTGGTAAGCAGGCGTGGGCCCGTGAACTCAGGTTTCTACTCAGAGCGTCCTGTTTTAGGGAAAAGCCGCCATGGCCCGGGGCAGCAGTTCCAGAAGCACTGGCCGTCCAGGAAACCTAGGAAGAAGGACACGATTCAGTGACGGGCATTAAAATATAAAGCCACGATGCATTTTTAAACATTCCTCACTTGTTTTCCAAAAATCCCACAACCCCTCCCAGACAGCACGCGAGAACCTGCGGAAACGTGACTGTACTGTCCCTCTCACCTCCACCCGGGCTGGCCGCTCCCGGGCCCCCCCATGGAGGTGGCTTGCTCCGGCCCAGGGGCGAACGTCCATGGGGCGTGGCCAGGGGACAGCGGCCTGGGAGCTGCCGGCCCGCGTGGTATTTTTCCTGCATTATTTAACACAGCCCTTTCAGCGTGTGCTGGAGCCGTGACGTTGCCAGCGAGGGACCATGACCCAAGGAATATTTGCAAAAAGCTGAGTTAGGTAAATATTTTATGCCCGTTAATGCGGTGGCCTGGACGACGGGCAGGGGCAGGGGCAGGCGGGCAGGGGAGCACGTGCCTGGGCACGTGCCCAGGGTGGCCAGGGTCCCTGACAGCGGAAGCGGCTGCCCAGTCTGTGGGGCCCCCGTCCCTTTGCGGGAGGGGCCACACACCCTCCACGCACTCTCAGGGAAGTGCCCAGTCCCGTGGAGGTTGGCGTCCCCAGTCACCGCAGCCCGGTGTCCACACTGTAAAAGGCAACACTTCCGAGTGGCTCCAGCCCATGATGATGTGGTTCCCAGAGAGGGGCCAGGGCCTCGGCAGTGGAGAGGAGAGTCCTCGGGCCCCACCCCAGACCAACGTCCTGTGCAAAAGGAGGTTCTCAAATGGGTTCTGGAGCGGGACCCCATCCTGGCTCACAGCTGACCACTTCTGATGTGGCCTCCTTCAGCATCCTCTCTCCATCCTGAGAGAGCCACTCGGGGCCCCCTGCCCCCCATGCCACAATCTCCTCTTTGCTTCAGGTTTTGGGTATCAGAAAATTACAC